GAAATTTGAATCGAAATTAGTAATAATAAATAAGAAGTTATTTTATAATAAGAATTTTTATAAATTTGTAACATAACTCTCCCCTACTCATTCGTGTATGTATACAATATAATGTCAGGCATAACTTGGGTGTTATTTTACCAAAACTATGGACAACTATTTCAGCAGCTGTTCAGTAGCTTCGCATTTTGTTCGGACTATTTTGATAGACATTCTAAATATGTATTCAATCTAACGTGACTTATTATTATATTATAATGACAGTAATTTAGATATTTACAGGGAATTTATAAATATATCAAATATGTAACGACCGATAATAAACAAAAAATTGTTTTATTTACTTAAATTTTGAATGTTCAAGTTTCAATTCAAAATTCTAGGCTAAATATTGAAAATACGAAAAAATATCAGACTTTTTTTTTATAAAAATTTCCTACAAAAATGTTTATTAATTTTGCTCTTTCTTGCTTCCTTTCTCCAAAATTTGAAAAATTTTCTTCCCAATTATTTTTTTGAGCAAAAAAAATTTTTTTTTGACACAAGAAATTTCACTTATTATCAAATATTCCAGAGAAAAATTTTCTCAAGGTGAGAAAATTTTTTTCTCAGCTAAAGTAGGTGGCACTGCTTCCCCAAAGTATCTAAAAATCTTGATCAAATATAAAAATTTATTGTATCGAGTATTTATGATAATTTGAATTAAGAAAAAATGACTTGTACCAAGAATAGAATTTCAAGAAAAATTTTTGCTTCGGCCAACACAACTTCAGTCTTCCTTCAGGCAGCCGAAAATTTTCTTGAGTTAAGAATTTTGTTCTCCAGTCAAGAAATTTTTCTTTCTGTGTACAATTTTTCATCCACAAAATTTTCTGTGACTTTTACAATTTTTAAGTTATTTTGAAGAAATTAAAAACTCTAAAATTTCGGAGTTTTTTGTTAATATCAAAAAATTTTTCACGGATGAAATTAAAGAATTAAAAAAAAAATTAGTCGATGAGCGGACGATAAACTGATTACTTTTTGTGCGCCAAATGATAAGATATCCGCCCGTATCATATCGCGGATCCTTTTAAGAAGGTACAATAGAAAGGAAGAGTAAACCAGCGAAACCACAATGCCAATAATCAGCCGAGTGGTTCTATTCGATGAACCCCTTAAATATCTTCACCCCGAAAGTATACGAGACGATCACCGTTATCTGAAGCTCCTTTATGTCCTGGATTCTATAATAGAAGAAAATTTTTATTTTCCCCTTCCCCCGGCATCAGACTCTCGACACAGCACACATGAGCTACGAGCGAGATTTTTTACCCATCAAATCTTCCGGATGAACTTGCAAGCGTCTTTACACATTACACACGTGTAGTACAATATTATACAATATTGTCGAGTGTATGGATGCTCACGACTCCGGAAAATCCGAGGATTTGTATGTAAGCGTAAAGGCTTGAAGCCGAACGCAGCCGCCCTTTCATACACTCCGAGATAACCTTTTACTGCCTTCGACCTTTCAGATACATTGTACATTCAACATTATACATTGTGCATTATATCAAAGACTTTTTAATATCTTCCCATTTATTTTTATTTATTGCTGTTATTAACTTCGGAGCTTAGATGCAAAATTCAGGTTTTGTATTTTTGTTTGAAAAATTGTTTGATCACGACTGAGTTGTTTTAATGATTTGTTTTGATTAAGTTAAATATTTAAATGATAATTAAGAGTATTTTTTTTTTAAGGACTGCATTTATAATAAAAAAATTTAATTTAACTTAAAAGAAAAATCTTGACTGAAAAAACTCATTTTAAATTTGTCAAAAATTTTTTGCTCAAATTTTTTATTATTAATATTATAAAAATTCATTTATTTGCGCAGAAAAAAATTTTTTATTACTTAAAAAAATTTTTGACACATTCGTGAATTATTTTGACACTATTGATAATTAATTAGATACAATTGTGTTAAATTAATACCTAAAAATTTTTTTAATTAGATTATTTAAATTGAAATTTTGTAAAAAACTTTTGACGCAATGAGGAAAATTTTTTAATGCATTAAAAAAAATACTACGGACAAAAAATCAAAAATTTTAAACAAAAAAAAAAAAATTTGAAAATTTTCAACTAAAATTTATTTTAACAAATAATTTCTCAGCCTAAGTTTTTTTTTTAACTTATTTAAAAATGAACCAACTCTTTAAAGTAATGTTTTTAGTTCTAAAATTTTTTTCTTGAATCTAATAAATTTTTTTTTCACTGTATAATAATAAAAATGCCTTTCTAACAAAAAAAAAATTACGCCAACTTTTAAAATATAATAAAATCAAAGCAACAAAGAAAAATTTATCCTTGACAAAAATATTTAAATAAATACCCCGTCATTTCCTGTCAATAAATTAATAACAGTAATCGATTTAATAACAGTGGGATATCTATCATTAAAGCCCATTAAAAATAATTTAATACCAAACAATTAATTAAGCCGAACGTAGCAACAAAAAAACAAAAAAAAATAAACGGATTGTTTATCATAATTTTTTGCGGCAAATACTTTCTATGTGGAACAAAAACAATCCAGCATGATAATTATTAAAAACAGTGATAGCGATCTCTTTGTCGAGATAGATAGATTGGGAATTAATTGTACCCGTTATCTCAATATTGAATCAAACATGACGAGTAGCCAGTGTCTACTGACAATATATACTTTTATTATTAATAAACCGGTATGAGCTTGAGTAAAAAATAATAACTTACAACAAATAAAATGACTGCAGCTGGCAGAAAGCTGAAAAGTTCTGAGCTGTATCTACAGCGCATTTCTCTGTAGGAAAATATATCTACTATGGCTGTATAGTCTTTAACGAGAGAAAGGCGATTACATTTCATCTCATTAGCTGCACTGGGCCCAACGGAGTAGAGGTTACATCAATTTATAAGCTAACCCGCGATTCAAGTCGAATAGTCTTAGTACTCAGTCCTCGGCTACTTACGCCGCCCGCCAGTTAATTAACACCGTCTTTTTTTAGTCTTTTTTCGCGTGAAAGTTTATTCTCAGAACAGATAAAACACCTCCATCGATAAAACAACCATTTTTGTTTGTATTATGGTTTTTAAATGCCTCACTTACACGTTTGCTTGACATTGTTTAAGTTCTTTTTTTTGTGAAATAATGAACAGAAATTTTTTTTGAATGAATAAAATTTCTTTATTGTTTATTAGAAAAATTTAGGACTAATTTTTGAGAACAGTCTTGAAAAAAAAAATTTTTTAATAGATTTTAGAACCATTTGTAAACATATCAGAAAATTTTTTCACGCATGAAAAAAAAGGCTTAATAAAAATACAGAAAAATTTTTTTAATTTACAATTTACATTTTTTTTTAATTACAAAAATTTTTGATCTGAAAATTTAAATTTTAAATTAAGAAAAATTTTAATTATTTATTTAAAAAATTTTTAATTAAGGAAAAAATTTATTATACAAAATAATATAAACATATCAGAAAATTTTTTCACGCATGAAAAAAAAGGCTTAATAAAAAAATACAGAAAAAATTTTTTAATTTAAAGTTTTACATTTTTTTAAATTACAAAAATTTTTGATCTGAAAATTTCAATTTTAAATTAAGATAAATTTTAATTATTCTTGTAAAAAATTTTTAATTAGGGAAAAAATTTATTATACAAAATAATATATGCCCAAAACTGTTATATAATTTTTTTCTATAAATTAAAATTTTGTTTTTTGCTAATATAAAATTATATAAAATTTTTCCATGTTTATTTTTGTAAATTTAACTATTTTTTTTTTTTGTAAATTTGCTTGTTATTTTTTATAAATAATTTTATAATTTTTTTCATGCAGAAAAAAATTAATCTTTAAAAAATCAATAAAGTTTAAAAATTATAAATCTCCAGAGCGAAGAGTTAAAATTTTATCTCGAATAATTAAAGCCTGAAACAAAAAATTAAGAGTTGAGAATAATCGTGATCAGTTGTATAAATAAAATATATAAGCAAGTGCATGAACCCTCGGGTTATAACGTAAGCAAGCTCGCATGAGCATAATACAGAGATTAAATTAACTGGAAAAGGAGGTAATCGCACGCGTGTGTATATAACCGCTGATCCTCGTGGGTGATATGTACAAAGAGGTTTACATACTCATACCCATACCATGCTACACCTATAAGAGCAATTGTCTCGGTTTATGTTTAGCCAGCAGCTACACCGCTAGTAATGTACTTTAACTGTAATGCAATGAAACATTTAAATGGTTTACTTAAATCTTTAAATTTAGTGCTTTTTGCTTTATTTATACCTTCTATTTTATTTCCAATATGATAATAATCGCTCAATTTATTTAGAGATAAATATTACTACAATTTAGGGACCATTATTATTTATGTTACATAATTTATAATTTATTTAAATGAATGACCCGTAAGCAGGAGCGTTATCTTAAAAAAATGACATGAATCCTTTAGTAATATGTGAGGTATGTTATTAACATAATTTATGAAAAATAAATAATTTTAATAATAATAATAATATAATTACGGTGAAAAATTTTATCGTGTTCGTGGATTCAAATATTTTGTATAAAAATATTTGAGCGTGAGTAAGTGTGTGTGCTACTTTTTGTATGTTGAGCTGCCGAAACGATAAAAAATTACCACGTACGTGGGCCAGTAAAAAAGAAAAAAGATAAAGCAAAATTGATCAGAAAATTTAATTTTCTAAAAAAAAAGTTCTGATATTTCTTCATATTTTTAATTCTTAGCTCATAATAATCACTTTAAAGTTAAACATTGTAAACTTGAAGAAATAGACTATGAATAATAATAATAATAATAATGAAATAAATTAAAGGTGATGCTAGATATATATGTATATGCTTTGCGCAATTGAGTACTAGCAATAAAATGTGCTTCTAATGGAACTGAAAAGTTGGAGGTATCTTGTCTGGTTCTTGTTCGGCTAATTAAATAAAATGGAAGCAAAACTCAATTTTTTGGACATAAAATTAGTAAATAATGTCGGTTTTTTCTGGGTAAGATTTGATCTTCGGATGGTGAGGTTGCCTCCAGGTACATATGCTACGTGAGAAGTTAATACGAAGCCGGAATGGAATGGAATATACATCGCAAATAGTGACAAGAGACATGAGATATGAGAAAGAGGAAAAGGAAAAAGAGGACCGGTTTTTGTTTTGGATTTTTGACACTGTCTCCCGATTTGATGCTTCTGATATTTGCCGATCTTTATGACCGCTGTAATTTGAATGAATAAATAGCTTTTATGTACGTGGTTTGATTGCTTTGCGATTATTTTTAAAATTTTTATGTGATATGAATTAAATAGTATTTTTGAATTTGTATTCTGGGTAACTGAAAGTTTTACTGTAAAAAAAATTTTGTATTAAATTAATTGACTTTTTTTTACTTAAAAAAAAATTTATTTGATCTAAAAATTACTATAAAATTAGACTTTTCTAAAATATTAGTTTTAAATTAAATAATTTTTTAAATTAAAACTTGAAAAGATTTTGAATAATAATTTATTGTATGTTAGCTGTAATAATGAATGAATCAGTGAAAGACAAACTTTGAAATTGAAGCAAAAAAAATAATAAGTTAAACGAAAATAAAAATGATCAATTCACTGTTATCTTAATAGAATCAGGGTTACAAGTAACATCGGTTAGTTTTTAAGACTCATCGGCATGACGTTTCAAAACTCTATCAGGTTGATATGTCGATCAATCCAACATTAACATTAACCAATGCCACCTTCATCCAAGAAACTCAATTAAAATCCCAAATAAATATTTGATTATATTATTATTAATTTATTTACTTATTTATTTCTTTGGAAGAAGACCCAACTGCTAAAGGCCATTAACAGGGTCACATAATTTTGCAATTAATATACAATATATAAATTTTTACATTATTATAAATAAATACTTATTAGATACAAAATATTTTGAGCACTAGTATGCAATAATTGAATAACAATTTAATAATAATAAAATAATATAAACCAAATTTTTTTCTTTTTTTGTTAATATTAATTTTTATTATTATCAATTTTAAATATTATTATTATTATTAATTTTTATCATTATTAATAATAAATTTTATTATTATAAATATTAAATAATATTCTGCCTAAAAAATCAATAATACGAAAAAATTGATCAGAATATTTTTGGAAAAAATTTAACTTTAACTTTATACACCAGCTCCTGGGCCTATAACCTGTTAAGTTTGGAGACCAGGTGTAATGACTAAAACGATCTTTACTACAGTAACTAGACTTTATTATGAATTATGACTAACTAACTTACATAGTAAATAGAATGGAAAAGGAATGAATGTATAGATAATTAATAAGTAGTATAGAATAGAGAATATAGAGAGGGGGAATGTTATTAACTACAACACGTATCTTCAATATTTTCCCTAAAATAATGATACAATCTTTCAATTTTAATTTTTTAAAAATATAAGTCTAACAATAATAAAAATAAAATTATTTTTAAAATTACAGACAAATATGCACGCGTCGTTTCCATACGACGGAAGCAGAGGAAGTGCTGGTGCAGGTGTCACAGGTGGTAGAGGCGTTGAATATGGAGTAAGACGTCCCGACGCTCTTTTGCCACCCCACGGGCTCGACCAGACGGACCTTGTCCTCAACTCGAGTCTCGTTGACGACCCCCAGGTGAGCGACGATGTACGTAATCGCAACGCACATTTTTAATTACTTATTTTTAATATTATTTATATTTATTTATAATACCGACGGTCATTCTTTAAAAAAAAAAAATGCGATAACATCGGCTCGAGATATATCTATAGAAGGTATATTGATTGCATAACAACGTCGGAAGAATTTAATTTTGGTATCTACTTGGACGACGGACCCTCCCTACTGTAATTCCAAAGTATTCCGACCGGCCACAATATATAAATATATGTTCAATATATTTAAGCGACCGTTTGTTGTTTGTTCGATATGTTATGACAGAGCTTGTGCAATCGTGAATTGCAATTAGAAATTAATTACAAGCCCCAGAGTAAAAATCATAGTCATTATTTATTATTATAATTTATAATTGTGGTTGTTATTGATAAAGAGTCAATTGTTTGGTTTTAAAATCATTTTTTTTTTTTGTATTGCAGAACACTAATGTCGATGACGGAGGATTTATGAACGATTTACCTCTTCTTAAAAGTAAGTTATTTTCATTTAATTTATTATTATAATTATACAAAAAATAAGGTGTGAAATTTTAATGAAAAAATTCATTTAATTTTTCTGTAGAAATATTTTTTATAAGATAAATTAATATTTAATTTAATTATTAAAAAAATTTCAATATTAGTGCATTAAAAAAAAAAATTAGTAAATTTTTGTGAAGCTTTAAAATTTTTTAAATATTTTTTTGTAGTTTAAAAATTAAATTTTTTTTTATAAAAATTTTTCAAACATTAATTCCGAAAAAAATACTAGTTTTTTCAAATATAATTTAAGAAGAATAAAATAAAATAACAAATCTTTTATAAAAAAAAAAATTCGACTTTTTTTTTAAATTAAAAATAATAAATAAAAAATTAAAAACTAAAAAAAAATAAATAGAAAATTAAAAATTAAAAAAAAAATAAATAAAAAATTAAAAAATTTTTACGTCAAAAAAAAATTCAAACATTTAAACAATTATTAAAAATATAAGTTTTAGTTAGAAAAATCATTATATATATTTTTTTATAACTAGGATTTTAATTAATAGGATAAAATTTAAATATTAAAACAATTAATTAGCAGAAAACTGTAATAAAAGTAGACATTTATGACGAAAATTCCATATGGTTAATTCTAACAAACATAAAATATAAAACAGAGTAGAATGAATTTCCATATTGGGTGCGAAACACGCCTAAGTCACCTAGATTTTTATCCACACACACACACACACACATAGATAAAAATATTTTTACATAGTTGTAAATATAAGTGTAAATGTGTATCGATAGACTTTCATTGATATTGCGCAAATATCGACAGCAAAACCCATCTCGTTCTGAGTCTTACTTAAAATTCGATCAGCTCTGACTGGAGTCCACTATCGGTGCATGTGTGTGACGTGAGTGGAGATACAAACTGCTATCAGCTAAGTAAAGAGCCAATATCTAACTGGCAGGCAATTCGATCGGTTGAAACATACAACATATTGGTTGTAGCTGATGCTGATTGTGAGTCGATTGAAACCAGTTGCTCGGTTATGTACTCTGCTCTGTATTCTGTATTCCAGCCGCGTACAAATTATACTTTTACGTGTATTTATATCTATTAGACACATAAATATATATTTATATTTATATTTATATTTATATTAATAATGAGATTTAGAAATTTTGATCCCTGAAGTGACAAAAGTGCACACTCAATAAATGACGAATTAACGAGTGAGCCGTTGACTTTTTGGGCCCGAGGCGCCCTAATGCTCTAATGTGCCAATAAAACTAAAAATGAAAGGGTGTAAGAGTCACTCCCAGCAGCTGACCGACCAATCCGACATTCGAACAGAGTCCTACGACATAAGTGAACCGTGACGATTGGTTTTGCTTCCGGCGGAGTTGATTACCTAGGAAATTGTGCGTGTGCACGCGCCCAAAAGCTCCTGGCTTCTGACTACCTCGGAAATGGAGAGCTTGTACGTTCTTTCATTTCCCTACAAATTAAGTTACTCAATGGCGATTCCCTTTTCTCTTCAAGTCTGCCTTCGCAGCCTCCATTTTTGAAATTTAATAAAACGGTGGAAGAAAAATTCACTTGATTCGAGAGAAAAGTTTTTGAACCAAGGGAATCATTTTTTAGAATTTTATTATCTTAAATCAAGCTAAAAATTTTTTTTAATATGAAATTGATTTTAAATCAAGTAAATTTTTATTGATTCAATAATTTTTCATTTAATTCAAGCTAAAAAAATTTTTTTAAATGATTTTCTTCAAGAATTTTACAAGTTCAAATTTTGAATACGAGGCACACCTATTAAAAATAATTTTTATTAAAAATTATTAGCAATTGGTCTAACTCCTTATTTTTCAGAGAGTGATTTTTTAACATTTTGATATAGCAATAGTCCAATTGTAAATTATTTGAATGATCTAAACCAAAATATTACATCTCTATTAAATATTAAATGGGTTTTTAAAGTGATAATAAATTTTGAACTATAATTGTTTTTTCGTACAAATGGAAGATTTTATAAAATGGAGTTAGACAATTTGCTAATTAGAATGTTGAAATAATTAATCAAGAAAAAGATATAATAATCTCAAAGAATAATTGGCTACCCAATTTTAAAAAACACAGTAACTGCAAAATTTTTATACCTAATTTTTTTTAATATTTCTGCATTTTTTATAACTTTTAGACCTTAATTTCAAGTATTTTTTCTTAAAAATATTTACATCTAAGTATTTTCTACTCATAAATCAAATTTTCATCAATTTGGCAGGCAAGTGTTTTTTTTGATAAGAAAAATTAAAAAAAAATTTTAAATCTTAGTTACTGTGTTTTGAAATTGGGCAGCCGTAATATCAAAAAATATAATTTCAACAGTTACCGCTAAGTGGCGCATGTATCGTCAGCTTTCTCGTTTGAAGACTGCAGGCTCGCGAGTTCTGAAAATGCGTCATAAGTAAAGTAATTAAAGAAGTCATTAAATCACTGTATTCTTTATCAGTTTACATTAATTTAATACAAATTCTCATTAAAAAAGAATAAAAAAGCGATTGATAAACCTTTCCGATAATGAATGTAGTTTAAATTGATTCCATTTATTATTTCCTTTTAACACTTCCTAAAAAAAACTTTGTAATTTCAAATATCTTGAAATATTTTCACACAAAAAAATGAATATTTGGTGTATAATTACTTTAGACACTTGGAGTAAATTTTTGATATAAAAAAAATTTGTTTTTCTTTTTTCGAAAAAATTATAAATTGTACTTTAGTTCCTCATCCGTCATGAATTTGTTCTTTCTGAAATACTTATTAAACATCCTAGTCTTTATTTTGGGTGTTTAAATGTTCAATTCATACTTTTTAAGCTCGACACAGAAAAAAAAATTAACTTAAATCAAGCAAATAATTTTGAAGAATTTCATCTTCTTGATTTGAGTTTAAAAATTTTTAAACTAAGAAATTTTACTCGATTCAAGAATTTTTCGTCTTAATTCAAGACAATAAATTTCTTCAAAATTATTTTCTTGGTTCAAGAATTTTTCTCTTGATTCAATTTATTTTTTTTTTTTTAAGTACATGAATTTTCTCCATGAATTACAATTTCCAAAAATGTCATTACAAAGCAGATTCACCGATTAAATACAAATATAATTCTTACCCACAAATTCGCCACTAATTAACCTCTTAATTTACCCAAGCAAGATGTATATCAGCTTATGTAACCGCAGATAGGAGCCAGATCGACGTCCTTGATGTAACATATAATGCACGTACATATATATAATGGGTTAGTGATCTTTAACGATCTTTTCTTGATCAAGTGTTCTCTTTCATGTATAAAACCGCATCTCAACTGAACTCTTATTATACCTAACATCATCCTGAATCCTCGATCACTATTATCATTATCATTATCATTATGCTGATGAGTAACCATGACTCAAAGGTAAATATAAAGATATGATGAATATTAATAAAAGTATAATCACAAGATCTCAATAAATCATCCTAGTTATTATTAACCCGATGTTTATAATTGAGATTATTTATCATATCATTTATTATTGAAACCTTTACCCGGACTCGTTTCACCACAGGCAACTATTACTTAAGTAATTATAAATAATTAAGAATAAAGTAATTGGGTGAATGGGCGTAGAGAAAAGTGACGGTCCATACTCCAAATAAAAGTAATTTTGGGTCAGAGTTGGGAGTAACGAGGCATATAATAACCCTCGATGACATTTTGACAAACAGCCATCTGTATTTCATGCCCCTGTGGTGAAGGACCTCCCCAAAAACTGGTACCCATGGAGAAAATTATAATAACAATAACGAAACTCGATCCGCCCGCGGGTACGCTTTTTTTCACTATTTTTTCACACCTCGAATACCTTGTCTACTCGAGACACATTGATAATTCTATAGCATTTGTCCCTTATTACCATTGTCAAGCACCCGACAATCACAATTGTCCCACTGCTATTGTCAAAATCTGAGTATTATACTCCGTAAAACTCATAGTTGCCAATTTTAGCATTTTTGAAAGTTGACTTTTATTTTTGTAGAATCTTTCTTTGGTTTTGGGTTTGGGATTAAGTAAGCTACTATACGGAAAATGCTAAATTCTGAAACATGTGGATATGTAAGAGGAAGAAGAAGGATTCTTTAGGGTGGAAGGGGACAAAAACCGTTGTGGGCTAATAAGCGGGTAATCTAGGGACTTGGTATGTGGTCGGTGTTTATCCCCGGGTTTTATTACAAATTTACTTCCCTCGGGTTTTTTGTGTAACTCGAGCCTGATAATAGTTTTGTTACACTAGTATTTTTGTATTATTGGTTGTTAGATGTAACCAATGTTTTATTTCTTTAAAAAAAAAAAGGAAATTTTTTCGGGTGATGTAAAAATTAAAAAAAAATTTTATTCAATTTAGAGCTTTAGACTGAAGATTTTTTTTTGTAATAATTTACTTATTGATGATAAAAGTCAAAACTTTGAAGTTTATAAAGATAAAAATAATTAAGAATTTTTTAGCTTAATAAAAAATATAAAAATAAACTAGCAACTTTGCAGTCACTAAAAAGATTAAAATTTTGCTTTATTAAATAATGACTTTTATTAAATTGCACTGTACTTTCTTAATTATTGATGATTTTAAACATATAAGTTCATCCCGATGATACACTCATCAAGAGCTTTCATTCGAGTACCCACATGCATTTTGATATATTTTTCATATATTCATATATGTATATAAATATATAAAATATATGAAAAATTGATGTGGGTACTCGAATGAAAGCTCTTGATGAGTGTATCATCGGGATGAGCTTATTTCTTTAAAAATGTCAATAGTTCACAAAATATTCGTTAAATTGCACTGTACTTTCTTAACTATTGACGTTTTTAAGGATATAAGCTCATCCCGATGATATACTAATCAAGAGCTTTCATTTGAGTACCCACATGCATTTTTGATATATTTTTCATATATTCATATATATAATATACATAAATATATAAAATATATGAAAAATTGATGTGGGTACTCAAATGAAAGCTCTTGATGAGTGTAACATCGGGATGAGCTTATATCATTAAAAATGTCAATATTTCACAAGATACAGGGTAATTTCTTAATTATGTATATAGAGATAGAGCATTTTTTAATGCAACCTAAATATACTTATCACAATAAATTGACCTTTGCAATGACACTAAATTTCACTAAAAAAAAAACCGATTTTATCATATGACTATTCTAGAAACAAAATATTTCTTACTCTCTTAATAATATAGATTATTTTTAAAAATGTGGTCATATATTTAATTAAACAAATAAATTCTAAATGAATTTTTCTTAATTTAATTAAAAAAATTTTTATTATTTCCTAACTTTTAAAGTTCTAAAAAAAAAATTACAACGAATAAAATTTTTCTAAGCTGTAAAAAAATAAATTTTAAATTAATACTGCAAAAATCAAAACACAGTATATTATTCCATATAAATTATTTTGCAATCAATAAATTTTTTCACTGAAAAATTTAATTTTCCTCTAAAAAAATCGTATGTGCACTGAAACAAAGTTATTGCACCTCTGGAATGCTTAATATCTTGAATTATCTACTCCCTTGAGAGGGTGGGTTTCCTTATACTGATACTTATACTTATAATATAAACATAAACGGTCAAGCAAAGAGTAAAGAGTAAATAGTAAAGGCATATCGCAAATCTTGCTCAGTTCAGCGGATGCTAAACTTCCACAGAGCCGCGGGCTCTTGCATCTATCGACAGCCTCTATTATTATTATTAATAATATTTATTATAGATTGAAGTAATTCTAAAACAATTTAATTGGACTCAGCTCTTGGATCTTTGCGAGTAAAAAATAAAAATTAAGATCAATCAGATATTAAATGCCGCTACGATCACAAACTTTTGATATTAATATTATTTATTTTATAAACACTTTCGCAATAATAAAAAATAATAATATTAAATGTGTGCTGATACCCGTAAGGCTTTCAATACCTCGGGCTAGCACGCGCACGTTTTCTTTCCGCCCTTTTTTTATTTATATATCAATTATATTATATAAATTATATAAATCAACTATCTGGGCTACGTTTAATATATTATTATATTTATTGTATGTCGAGATTAGATACATTTACTACTTCTATATATGTTAAGGATAATTTATAATTCATAAAATTAATTAAACGTGTCAAGTATTTTGAAATGAAATTCGAATAAATTCAATTAGCAGATTATTATTAACCACGCTTAAAAACTTAATAAAAAAATATTATTTATGACTTGAGAAGTTTAAATTCGTCGTAATAATCGATTTTGAGACAATAAAATAAATAATTTAAATAATGGCATGTTTAAGCTGACGGGTGATTTATAATAAAATTTTTATAACTTTTGAACTTTAAAAAAACAGCTATAAGTTTTAATAGTTATAAATTGTGAGTATGTATGAATTTTGAATTTAAAAACCCTGGTTTTTATTTTTCATTTAACTATCTGTCGACATATTTATTGAACGTTTAGCTTGATGCTTGATGCTCGATAACAAATGATTGCAGGAGTTTATTATGACATGACCCGTTAAACTTTCACGAGCCTGAGCTGTAGTGCATAGAAATATGTATGATAAACTCTCACACATTCTCTTTTACCTATTTTTATTAGTTTTGTGGATATAAATTTTTATTGTCGGATTTTTATTTTTTTAAGTTGCTAGAAAAAAATATAAAATCTAAAATTATTGATCAAAAAAATAATTTAGTTTTTTTTTTTAATTAATTTTGCACTTATGAACTTTGAACAAGGATCGAATAATTGAATTTTTAATAAAAATAAAGTTTGTGTTAAATCACAGAAAATTTTTGATTGAATAAAAGTTATGATTAATGATAAATGATTATTTCTTAATAATTAATTTTGAACTTATAGAGTAAAATCAAATGATTTTTTGTTTTGCTAAAGAAAAGTTTTGATTAAACTGATGATTAATGATTTAATGATTAATAAAAATTTTTTAACTATAAATAAAGATCATCAGATATTTTGTTTAGTTAAAAAAAATTGTGAATACAGTAATGATGAATGATTAATGATTAATCATTGACTAGCGACCTTGCAGTCACCATGTGACTGCCGTGACTTGTGAACTATAAATAAATGAAATTTTGCTTTATTAAATAATGACTTTTGTTAAATTGCACTGTACTTTCTTAAATATTGACATTTTTGAAGATATAAGCTCATCCCGATGTTACACTCATCAAGAGCTTTCATTTGAGTACCCACATGCATTTTGATATATTTTTTATATATACATATATATATAATATATATAAATATATGAAAAATTGATGTGGGTACTTAAATGAAAGGTCTTAATGAGCATAACATCGGGATGAGCTTATATCTTTAAAAATGTAAATAATTTTCAAGATACAAGGTTTTTATTAAATAATTACTTTTGTTAAATTGCATTGTACTTTCTTAATTATTAATAATTTTAAAGACATAAGCTCATTCCGATGTTACACTCATCAAGAGCTTTCATTTGAGTACCCACATGCATTTTGATATATTTTTCATATATTTATAAATATAATATATATAAATATATGAAAAAATGATATGGGTACTCAAAGAAAAGGTCTGGGTGAGCATAACATCGAGATGAGCTTATATCTTGAAAAATGTCAATGGTTCACAAGATACAAGGTCTTTTCTAAATAATGACTTATGTTAAATTGCACTGTACTTTCTTAAATATTTTTGTTAAATTGCATTGTACTTTCTTAATTATTAATAATTTTAAAGACATAAGCTCATTCCGATGTTACACTCATCAAGAGCTTTCATTTGAGTACCCACATGCATTTTGATATATTTTTCATATATTTATAAATATAATATATATAAATATATGAAAAAATGATATGGGTACTCAAAGAAAAGGTCTGGGTGAGCATAACATCGAGATGAGCTTATATCTTGAAAAATGTCAATGGTTCACAAGATACAAGGTCTTTTCTAAATAATGACTTATGTTAAATTGCACTGTACTTCCTTAATTATTGATAATTTTAAAAACATAAGCTCATCCCGATGTTACACTCATCAAGAGCTTTCATTTGAGTACCCACATGCATTTTTGATATATTTTTCATATAGATATATATATATAATATATATAAATATATGAAAAATTGATGTGGGTACTTAAATGAAAGGTCTTGATGAGTGTAACATCGGGATGAGCTTATATCTTTAAAAATGTCAATATTTCACAAGATACAAAGTCATTTCTTAATAATTGACAATTAAAATCATTAATAATAACTTTTAAGTTAAAATAAAATAATTTTTTGTCAGGATAAAAAATTTTTTTGATTAATCTAATGATTATTGTTTAATGATAAATTATTAATGAAAACTGTTATAGATATAAAACAATCAGACAGAGGAGAAAAAGGAATGTTATCAGGCAATGCCCAGCCAGTGGATGTGTTTTGCTCGGTACCAGGAAGACTATCACTGCTAAGCAGCACCAGCAAATATAAGGTCACGGTCGCCGAGGTTCAAAGACGACTCTCACCACCCGAGTGCCTGAACGCGAGTCTTCTAGGCGGCGTTCTAAGAAGGTGAGGCCGTAATATAATACAATATAAGTATAAATACTATTTAAATCTACAATTTACAATTAATACCAGCGAAGAAAGGAAAGAGAGTGGAGACAGCCGATTGCCGATAGTTGATAGTTTAATCTCCAATCCAATCCAATGTTTGCTTATGAAAAATAATCTGTTGATTCTCACACACCTGTGCCATCAGTGTCCACCTATCCACCTATCTCGCGAGACATACTGACCCCATGCTAATGACCCTCTCGCTCCAAAGCTCTTTCTCTTTCTCTTTCTCTCCTCCTCTCATTCATAAGGCCAGTCACCAATAATTATTTACAATCTTTATATTCATTCATATAATATAACAGTATATTGTCGTATACTTTTTTTTTTATTTTTAGTTTTTATTCCGCCCTGTCAAATATTTCATACATCTTATTTATTATTGAATTTTATCTCAAGTTTTTTTAATAATTCATTTTTTTATTATTTTATTTTAAAAATAATTATTTTTATCTTAAGATAAATTTCAACAACTTCTTCTTACTTGACAAAAATAAAAATTTTTATAAATTTTAGATTGAAATTTTTACTTTAAATAATTTCATTAAACTTCAATTTATTTTACAACTTCAAAAATCATACTTCATTTTACAAATCTTACTATTAACTCTAGAAATTCAAATTTTTCATTAAGCTTCATTTATAAATTTACACTTCATTTTATTTGGAAAAATCAAACTTTAGAAAAGTTGTTTAATTTTTGTACTTAAAAAATTTCATTTTATTTTATTCCTCCAAAATTTAATTTATATAATTTAATTGAACTTAATTTTATTTTACTTCAATTTAAAAATTACACTTCATTCTATAAATTTTAGAGTAAAATTTTTAAATTTGATCCAACGAAATAATGTTAGAAATAAAACTAAATATTAAATAATTTTATTAAACTTCAATTTATTTTACAACTTCAAAAAGCATACTTCATTTTATAAATCTTACTTTTAACTCTACAAAATTCAAATTTTTTATATACCTTCAATTTATTTTATAAAAAAACTTCAACAACTTCATTTTATTTGAAAAAATCAACCTTAAGAAATGTTTAATTCTCTATTTAAAAAGTTTCATTTTATTTTATGACTCCAAATTTTAATTTATATAATTTAATTGAACTTAATTTTATTTTTCTTCAATTTAAAAATTACACTTCATTCTATAAATTGAGAGTAAAATTTTTAATAAAAATAAATTTTTAAATTTGATCCAACAAAATGATATTAGAAATAAAATTAAATATTAAAATAAAACAACTTAAAAACTTTATTAAATTTCAAGCAAAAATATTTTACATCCCAAAAAAACATGATCTTTATTACTCTCTTATGTAACATGAAGACAGCTCCCAGAAAAAAACTAGACATATATAATAATAATAATAATAATAATAATAATAATAATAATAATAATAATAATAACTCTCCATCACAACTTTATAAAGTTACGGTTTCTCCAACGGTAAATTAATATCCCTTGGTAAGGTTTTTGTAACGCCCGGAAAACAACACCAGCCCCTGATTAATAACTTTCCCAGGAAGTTTTGTTGTTTTATCAGGCGCTATCTATTACTTAATCCTTAATCATCCTGATAGACCGGCCACCGGTACTCGAGTGTCTAAACTCGGTACCTTATTTATCATCATGCATGCATAATATAGTATCATACCAGTTACCAGCTATAATCATAACAGACATTAATTCACCGCCACTGGAGTCCACATCTAGTAACTAGTAGCTAGTAGCTCCATATACATGCAAATCTCTCACAATCGGCGTCACAAGACCCGCGAGCTAAACTCTCATAAAATTAATCTCTGACTAACGACCGGGTAAATTGCTCCACTTTGGGAAGTTCCCAATGTCTCAATAAATCAATAACAACACGGAGGGAATTAAGTAGTAAAAATTATCATATAGTTATTGTAGAGTTTTTTTAATTTAACTTCAAACTAATAAATACTACTTAAGTTATTAAATAAACAATCTCTATTAAAGTATCTGCCAACCCTATAATTTTATTTACAATTATTTATATTAATAACAGCTGTCTAATTTTATTTTATTATTATCATCAATATTATGAAAGTTATTGTCTAATATTAATATTGTTTATCAGAATTAACTAATTTAATTTAAAATTTACAATTGGAAATTTTGAAAAAGATATTTATAATAGGAATAATTGAGAGATTGCAACAGTTATCATCACAAAGTACAATAGTTACCATTTAAGCTAATTTAAATTTCATATAAAAAATTATTATCCTCAATAGTAATCGTTACTATCCTCAATAATAACTACTACAATAAAAATGATAAATATCAGGATACTTTATTACAGAAAGTTCTATTAAATGATTATTAATTCTAATTACAAAATTGTAAAACTAATTATTTCAACACTGGACAAATTTTACTGCTATCTTAGATGATTAACTCTAAAAATTTCGTATTGTAGATTGTATAATTTAGTTTTTTCCCTGCAGAAATAAAAAAGCATGCACTTGAAGTGCGTTTTAATGATCTTCGAGATTTATTTTGAGATCACAAAGAGTAAAATTGTCTAGTCGAGGAGTAATCACGAAACGGCGACAAGAGACAGAGGGTCCTCGCCGTCACCATCCTCATCCTTGTTCTCATGTACACCATGTAATAATAGTAATGATAGTAATAGCAATAGTATATAATATAATACAGTAGTCGACGGGCTTTATAGTGGATATAAAGACGTTGGTTGCGACGGTAAAAGAGCGCAGACGGAGGATATCGTTTCTCAAGAAGACAAGCCACCGTAATGAGTCAAGCATGCTTCGCATCACGTCCGGTGCTCATTTTTTTCGTTTTAAATCATTATTGAAATAAATTTTCCTTGTGAATATTTAACGCAAAAACTTGCTCGGGTATTATTTTTGCTTGTAATTATTATTAAATTATTCAATCAGTAATTTGAAAAATAATATTTTATAATTTATTAATAATTTTTTTAAATACATTTATTTAAAAAATTCATAAAAAAATATTAAAATTACTAAATTATTTTTATAAAATTCTAAATAATTAAAATTTAATTAAATTAAAGATCTTATTATTTTAAAAAAAAATTAATTTAAATATTCATTAACATTTAAATTGAATAATAAATTTTTTTTATCAAAATTCTTTAAAATTTTTTAATTAAAAAAAAAAAACTCCTAAAAATTTGCATTTGAAATTTTTTTTAAATTCTACGGGGAAATTTTTTTCGCAATAATTTAATTAATTTAAAAATCTAAAAAAATAAAGAATGTTTGTTAATTTTATTATAATTATTTTCAATATAAATTTTTTGCGCGCAGTAGCCTATCGGATCCGGCCCTTGCTTACCAAAGCATTGGACCGGGTTCGAGTCCGGCGTACACCAATGAATATTTTCAATATTTAAGTGTATTATTCTGCTCAGCCCAAGAAATAAAACGAGTTCCAATCACAAAAGTTTACCCCCTACCGTAGTCGCTCATGACCTTAGTAGTTTATGCGACTTTAAAAAAAATTATGAAAAAAAAAATATAAATTTTTTCCATAGAAGGCAATAATATGTAATATGTAATATATAATAAGAATGTAAGAAATAATAAAAATAAAAAAAGGATTTCGAAAACCGTTATGACGATGATGGATCGGTAAAAAATATGAGAATTGAATTGAAGAATCGAGGATGTAGGATATAATATAATATAATAAGATAATATAATATAGGATGGGAGTTTAGCCAGTACATGAAGTAAGAAATAAATCTGTAGCACTGATTGTGAGTGGAGAAAGAGAAGAGTATGTTGTATGTTGACGTGAGCTTGCTCAATAGTGACTATACTGAATTATTGACACGACGGCAATAGAATATGCTAATTACAATTATGACAAAGTTACATTATACTTTTAGTATTGTCGGTGATTAATAGTCCGCTTTTGTAAATTCATCGCGAATATTTTTGTCGCGCTTATACTCGATGATTGAGATGTGCCATTACAATTGTTACTTTTATTTTTTTTATCAATGGGAACTGTCGCGTGAGAAAGTTATGAGAGAGAGGCAGGAATTTTCTTTAAATTGGTTGTTTTATTCAAATTTGCTCGTTTGTTTTGCAGAGCCAAGTCGAAAAACGGAGGCAGGTTGCTGAGGGAAAAGCTCGAGAAAATCGGGCTTAATTTACCTGCGGGCAGGAGGAAGGCTGCTAATGTTACTCTACTTACGTCATTGGTCGAAGGTAAATTATTTTATAATTAAAATTTATTATTTTATGATATTTAATAAATATTTATTATGTTAACTTTCATGAAAAAAATTTTATTAAAATTGTAAAATTTTGCTCGATTTTTTATTATTAAAATATAGGTATTGAAAATTTATAAGAAAATATGAAAAATATATTTTAAATCATAAAATATTTTTATAGTGATAAAAAAAAAAATTGAATTAATTGAAGAGAAAAAATTTTATAAAAAAATTTTTCAATTATGAAAATTATCTTGACTCTTTAAATTGTTCTAATTTAAAATTTCTTTTTTTTTAAATTAAAATGAAATTTTTTTAAGTGTAAATTTTTATAACAATTACTTCAAAGGACTGATATCATGAATCAAGCAAAAAAATTCTTAAATCAATTGAAATTTAATTAATTTAAAAACAATTTTTTAGTTTAAAATTTTTTTAACCTCACAAAAAAATTGAATTTTTCAAAATAATTTTTTTTTTCATTTTTAATCAACTTGATTTATTTATTGAAGTCCTGAAAATTTTTTTTTAATTTAAAAATAAAAATTAAATTAATATAAAAACAATTTTTTAGTTTAAAAATTTTTTAACCTTATAAAAAAAATTAAATTTTTCAAAATAATTTTTTTTTATTTTTAATCAACTTGATTTATTTATTAAAGTACTTAAAAAAATTTTTTTTACTGAAATTTTTTTCTTATGAACAATATTGTATTTTTATATTTTAAAATAATTTTTTTATATGGTTTAAAATATATTTTTTAAAGATACTTTACATATTTGTTAATTAATTTTAAATAAATTTTTTTTCACGATAAAATGTTGGGTCAAAGTTAACACATAAATATCTTAAAAGTCAATCTCATTTGAGCTCCTGATCGACATTAAGAACAAAATAAATATATCAATCGTGATGGTTATATCGACGGTAGATTGAGACGTCAGCGAGCGAGTAGAGACTTGAGCTCCTATCAGACCGCAGTTACAAGTGCGTTTTTTTTTTTGACTGTTAATCGAGAGCTCTCCGCCTCTTGCATTGTATTGTGTAGTCTTGTACCACATTATATACCCACTAACTAAAGAAAGAGAAAACGACAGAGCAAAGAAGATGAATAAAGAAGAGATAAGAGCGTATAGATCATCAGCCCTAAACCTGCCAGTCTTGAAGACAATGTTTTAACGACATCGTCGAAGTTTGTCAGTACCAAGAGACTCCGAGAAGTATTATTATATATTGTATACAGTGTGCTATGCTGGTGAAGACGTTGATTATAATTTACGAGCATTACCCCAACATAAAACACCGTCTTTAACCTTTGCTTTAACGAACCCCGTCTCATAGCACTGAGTATTGTAAATTATTTACAACATTTAACTGGCTTTTATTTATTCATCAAACAGAGACTCAACACTCTGAATCGTCCTTAAATCATCTCGCGAGCTTGAATATTTTTACTGAGTAATTTATTAGTTGGTTTCTTTTATCTCCGCTAGGTGGCGCATGGTCGATATACGCGCTCGCTAGTGAAACGGCCGGGCTAAGGTATATGGTCAATTTCAAAGACAAACACGCATTGCGCGCTCATAATATAATTTAATAAGTATATCTGTACTAATAAATGAGAAGACGTTTTTTTATAAATGCCTATCTGAATAAACTACTGAACCAATGCACATAAAACTTATACCAAAATATGTACCGTGTTTCGGAAAAGGTTTTAGTATGTAATACATGCCCAATCACTCATTTGTTACTTGTATTTTTTCGTTTAGAAAATAATTAGTTTTAATTATTAATTCGTTCTTTTCAATTGTCATTTATTTGGAATAAAAATAAAAATTCAACTATTCGATCGGTACTTAGTTCAATGAACAGTTATTTAGTCAATGATATTTAATTTAATATTAAATAAAATTTTAATGATTAATTATTTTGAAAGTTTAGTTTAAATGTCAGGCTAAAAATAAGGAAGCAAACTATGTGAGTTTTTATAATTGTTTTTCAATTTTTTAATAAGATGTAAAAGTAAACTGAATTTTTATTTTTGATATTCTGTCTGTGATAATAAATAAAGGCATTTTTTAGAAGTGCCTTATTTTAAAAAAATATAAAATCAATAGATATTTAATTAATGTAATAAAAGTCATTGTTTCTTAGAGAATGTTTTAAGTTGATAAAATTTTATCGATATTTTTTTAGTTGAGATAAAATTAAGTTTTTAGTGAAAATTTTATTTAAGAAAAATTAAGAATTTTTTTATTATATTAATTGAATAATGTAAATATCAAACTAAAACCTTCTATCCGACTTATTGGCAAAGAATATTTCTAAAAATTCATATTGAACTAACAGATTTTATTGAAAATTTTATTTAATAAACATTAAAAATTTTATGATTATGTTGATTGAAAAATTTTATTTTTTTTTTAAGTTCAATAGAATCATGATTTTAATTATAGAAATTTCAATTTAAAAAACTACGACAGTTTTATTTTTAAAGAATTATAAAAAATTTTGTGAATATTGACACTATTAATTTTTAAAAATAAAAAAATTTTAAAAGTCTTCAAAGATGTAATTGCACAAAAATAAAATAATAATAATAATAATAATAATAATACTGAATAAATTAAACAAAATAAAATAAATTATCAAATTTAATATAATATTAAGTGATAAGAAATAAAAAATAAAAATTAAATTATCGGATTTCTCTAGCACTTGCCACCTACGGATTTAAATAACTACTCGAGCATATTAAAGTAAACATTTGCCGATACTTAAAAATAAAAATACCTAAAAGCCTCTACTCAGATTCATTTCTAGAGCGTACAATGATGAGAGTAAGATATACCGTAAGTTAGAAAAAATAAAATAAAAATTTGAGTAGAGAGTTAGAAAGAAGGTGATATGATAGGACGTAGGATGCCCACGCTCATACGGTCATACTTGGTGCCTGGTCATACCGCGGTGATGAATAAAGAGAGTCCCTACATACTACATACAATATATATACTACATAATACTAACGGCATTGCGAAAGTGTGGGAACCGCCTCTTCCATTACATGCCTTTAGCCTTTTGCCTTCTCTTCTTTCTTTAGACTCTGCGCTGGGTATAGTCTCGAGACACCGGTACAGGTACCAGGTGCCAAAGGTCCCGAATCTCGAAAATTTTTTAATTTTTCAGCCCACTTTGCTTCAATGTCTGTAATTACATCCATTACGTTGCATAATTATATTTCTCTTTACGATAATTGTTCGTAACTACTTAATCGATATTTAAAAATTTTTCAAAACTTTCCAATCTTAATTTTTCGCAAATAAAAATTATTGATCAAAATTATTATTGAATATTTATTTGGAAATGCTTATTGAATTTAATCGTGATAAGATTGAGATAAAGAACGCGACAGGTGTAGCAACTAAGCATTTACACCCGGTGTGACATTAAATGATCGGTATCTAAAATACGTATATATATATATATATATATA